CCCCCCAGCTTCTTAGTGCTGTGCTTTAACCTGCTGTGCCACCAGGGAGAGCCCAACATCAACAATTTTTAAGGACTGAAATATTTCAAGATATGTTTTGCAACTATTTGAGGAAGCTTTTGTTTCACACTTTATAGCTGTTGGGTGCATCTTTTGAGGCCGACCAAAGAAATTTTGGGGTGGAGGTTTATATACTGTGCGAAAGCATTTTTTTTAAGGAACACTTTAAATATAGTCTCTCATTTAATTCTACTAATGGTCCTATAATAGTAGGTATCCAGTAATAGCCCTATTTTATAGGCTCAGAAAAGTTAAATACTTGTTTAAGATCACCCAGCAGTTTTCATTATCTGGGATGAAATTCCAGTCTACAGGTTTGGGTTTTGTTCTGTTAATCCCATTTGGCATTCTTGTTGCCACATTTACTAACAGTGGAAAGTCTCGCTTAACATGAATTGAAGTTATTTTATATTACACTGAATAAGCAAGTTTAGGTTACCCTCTGGGTTCATTATTATCTACAGTTGTTAAAGTTTTCAGAGATTAAATTAAAAAATTCTGCAGTGTTATAGTTAACACGTTTTTCTAACCTCAGTGTCTTAAGATACAGAAAATGCTATTCCTCTACCTGTTAAATTTTTGTAAAGAATTAATATGCTTGTCAATTTCTGGTGTTCTGCAAGCTAGAGACTACAGATAAGAGCAAGTTGCTTCATCTGTCTGGGCCAATTTTCTTATTTGTAAAATGAGATTAGAACTTGTGTTCCCATCCTTTTGGGAAGTCAGTATTAAGATTAATTAAACACCATGTTTCCTAGGGTCATAATTTATTATGGCCTGCATTTTCCCCCTTATCTACTAGTGAAAATGTATAAGAGAAGGGATTACTGGTAGAAAAAGAGAAGATAGGATTTGAAAAGCAGTATGTGTGCTCTGAACAAACTTATATGGGATGTTGTGGGGTTTTTTGATGTTGTTAGAATCATGTAAAAATAGAACAAATGCTTAGTAGTTTCTGATCTGTCATGAGGAAAGGGGTATAGAGTGATGGTAGGGGAAGAGGTACCTTTAGATTAGGACTAATGTGACCTATGTTATTGCTCAAGAGATGTTGAAACACTTTTCTTTAAAACACTGTTGATTTTAGTAGTTGCTTAAATCTTGTACCTGTTTATCCCTTGTACAATGACTAGTCTGGTTTGAGTTATACTGAAAATTTAAAATATGTGCCAGTGTGGCCATTAGAAGTCTGGAAGTTTGTATGTAAGTTATATTTGGGTCTTAAATTATATTGTTAGTGAATAGAACTGCTCTTATAATTACTAGTTAGGTTGATTAGCTATTAATATTCTTCATGTACCAAGATCTTGATTTCCTTGTTCTTTGGTTCCGCCTTAGTAGTGCCCAGAGCCCATGAGTTGGTAGTCTCTTTATTTAGCTTACAAACAGCCTTTGATTATCCCACTGGGTGCTAAAAATAGTTTTTTTCCTGTGTGATATGGACATTGAACTCTGGGCCATCACATAGCTATTTAAGATGCAGAAATTTCTTTTTTTTTTTACCTCCTTTTTAAGTATTGTAATGTTTATTATATAGAAGAGAGAATGGAATCTTAACTCACTGTGAAGTGACATGGATAATTATTTTTTCAGTTCACTTCTACTCTTAAAAATGCACAATAAATACCTTAGAATAAAACTACATTTTTAACATTTAATATCTTGTTTACAAAAGAAATTATAAAATATCTTTTAAAAAATACAATTTTTAGAATTGTACTTTCTTTATAACTTCTCTGTAAATATAAACATTCCTGTATCCTACTTTTCCAGTTTCTCTTATTAAAATGAAGAATCTGTTTTGAATCTAATTTTGTATAATGTATGAAAAGTTTACACCTTTATTTATTTTGCTCAGAAGAAATTCTGAAATTTTGTTACACTTGATTGTTCTGAGAAGCATATAATCTGTATATATTTCAGGAAGACACTATAAACATGAAATTTAATGACCCATTTGCTTAAGGTATTCTATTAAGACCACACAGTGCACATGCCTTCACACTCCTGTCTTTTCTATTCTATAGTTGACTTCTGTCTTTTCTACCCTATAGATGTAAAGAACCTATATCCATCATCATCTCATTATACAAGAAATTGGGATAAATTGGTTGGTGAGATTAAAGAAGAAGAAAAAAATGAGAAGTTGGAGGGAGATGCGGCTTTAAACAAATTATTTCAACAGATCTATTCCGATGGTTCTGATGAAGTGAAACGTGCCATGAACAAATCATTTGTAAGAACATTAAACTTTAAAAAAACATTTGGTAAATTTCAGAAATAATAAATGAAAGTAGGTAATTAGAGACCTAGTTTCATGTATTATAGCTTGGTGACCTTTTGAATAGGTTTGTCTGAAAACTTCTGCTTTAAACTTAGTGTAATTACTGAGGGAATTGGAAACTTGTGGAGGAGATGAGAAACAAGGGGGTTATTGTAAGTAATTTTTTTCATCAATAAACTAGAAGTTTTGGAAAGCTTTAGAAATTGCAAGGTCACTGTGGGTGATGGAGTATTCTAGTTGGGTTACCACAATAAGTGGTAAGTGGAGTGTCTTTATAGCTAGGATGTAAGTATCAGTAAAATTTGCTCCTATAAATTTTAGTGCCTTTTAGGCATCCTCATTTTTAGTTGCAGCCAAGGGGTAGGAAGGAGATAGAAGAAAACAAGCCCTTAAAATTTTAACAGTGCATATGATTGATACACGTTACTATGTTAGCAGTCATTATGTTCATACATTCTACAAGATAGAGTCCTGCTTAGAGCTAAAGAAGGCCATAGAAAAATGGTGAAATGTCCTGTTTGTAGTGTAACTAACATAAAAATTGGGGTGGATAAAGAGAGCATTTCCTTCAAGTGAATCCACATACATAGTATGGAGCATAGGATTACACTGAGGCTCCAGTGTAATAGGCTACATAATTTTGTGTTTACAAACACAGCTGATTATTACTTAAATGTTTAATAAAACAAGAGTTTAACAATTCACACTGTTCTTTGCTGTGATTCAAGTCTATCAATTTGTTTTACATTAAGATAACAAGTATCCAGGGTATTTTTTCTTTATTGTACTTATGAATATGCTAGGGTAGTCAGTTCTTTGCTGAGACACTGATTTTGTGTACATGTGGTACACTTGAAATAAAAATAAGCATCTACTTAGATATATATGATACAAATGGAGCCCTTTGAGTTCTGTCCAAGTAGCATAGAGAATTTGCTTTGCTTTGTCTTTAATATCTTCTACAAGAGAGATCACACTATTTATTTTCTCTGAGAGCCATTTTTATTTTAATCTGCTGACTAGCATGAGTGGGCGGATATGATGCTTTGTATCATAATGTGAAATGATGCTTCCATCTAACCACTCTAGGATTTTGTTTTCAGGTTGTATAGGACATGGAGCTTCTCTAGAAAGTCTGAGATTAAATATTGTGTTGAGTTTATATTAAAACAATTATAGCTTGTTTTGGAGACTCCACATTTAAAATACTTTTAGAAAAATATTATTTTAAATATATGGCCTAAGAGTTAATCTGTTTTTATTTCTTATTGCAGATGGAGTCTGGTGGTACAGTTTTGAGTACCAACTGGTCTGATGTAGGTAAAAGAAAAGTTGAAATCAATCCTCCTGATGATATGGAATGGAAAAAGTACTAAATAAATTAATTTGCTATCGCTGTATTACTTAATATTCACCTAATATTCATTGTGTATTAATATTGCATTCTCGAATTTTGAACACTGAATATAATTTGAAAGGTTACACCTCTTTACATCTTTGTGCTTTAGAAATTATTTTCCTTCAAGTGTTCTAAGAGTCTAATGAAGAATGAAGATCATATTTTATCACTTCTGTCCTTAAACATTTCAGACATGCTGAAATGGAAGTATCATTTGCTACTAGGTAGATCTGTACTATCTAGTTATTGGAGTGAGGAACTCATTAATGGGATATTGGGTTATTGCCTTATTTTTGATGCAGTATTCTATTAATAATTTATTAGACTTGGCACCTTTGGGTGAGCATAGATTTTTCAACCTCTGTATTGTATTATATTTGCTTTTAAAGGCTGCTTTTGACTGGAGTTGCAAATACAGTTTTTTTCTATGTAGTTTGGTTCCTTTACCTTTTAAGTTTTTTTTTTTTAAGATTTATTTATTTGTACATACAGAATTGGGGTACAGGCTGGAGGCTCAGGGGCGGTGAGAGGCTTCACCAGAGACAGAGTGGGGAGCAGAACAGGCAGATCAAGAAAGTACACTGCTGAGGGGAGCAGTGGGCGGGTCAGGAGAGGTCTGCCACGCCATGTGGTCACCTCCGGGGCAGGCGGGAATTGAACTCATGTGGAAGTGGCTTTAGCTTCTCAGTGTAGTGCTTTAACCCGCTGCGCCACCAGGGAGGGCCACCTTTTAAGTTTTTAATGAGATCTTTGAAAAGTTATTTATCTCAGAGAATTCCCATTTCATTCTTTTTATGAGAAATATTTGTAATCACAGTGATATTTTTGTTTCTTACCTTCCAGATCTTTATATAAAATACACACCTGGGTTCTGATGGTTTCTAACTGAAAGATTATTGTGAAACTGGAACAGACAGTGATTTAGACTAGATATATAGTGTGGGAATGCAAAAAGTAAAAGACTCAAGCATTAACTGCAAGAGTTTATAATCTAGCAGAGGAAAAAAAGTATTCATGAAGGAATTGTCAAGTGCTTGACTACTGAACTAATTTAGAAATAGTTTTGAGACACATAAGTATTCTGTGATTAAAGGTCTTTGGAATCTCAACTATTAACAAAGCTTAAGTTCAAGATGACCTGCATTTGTGACTTTGTTTTCTGATCATAATTTCTAAATCATGATGCCCTGGGGTTGATGTTACCTCTCACTAACATTTCCAAGGACACTATTTTATCTCTTTGTGATTGAGGATACAGAGGCAAATGGCCATCTTTTCAGTATCTGAAACACTGGGTGTTTGACAGGATCAAACTGAAATGAAATCAAGGGGGAGTTCATGAGGAAACAAAGTTGGGGCGATAACCAGAGCATATCCAACTTGTTCAAGCATGGGGTGGGGATGGGGATTTTAACTTGTCCTCCAGAAGGAACACTGAAGAAAAGACAAAATTATTTTAAGTTGCTTCTCAGGATTTCTAAATTTTCTCCTCACAGAAAAAGAAATTGATTCTTGTGCTTTGTCATATTTTCTTAGGACCACTAGTCCTACAGAGTAGAGGCTATTGGTGTGGAAGTGGTAAGTTGAGGGCATTTGGCACCACCTCAGAATCCTGCTCTAGCAAAGCTCACCCACTCACTATATTTTATAATTTTCAACAGGTTGCATGTACCTTTCTGTGTCTTAGTTTTTATTAAAAATCATGATGCTAAATAAGGAAACATTTTGCCGCTTAAAAATCTTCCCTAAGAATGACATTATTATTATAGAATTTGTCTTTAACATTCTGTTATTAGTTTTGTTTGTGTCTTAAAGGATACATTAAGATGTTTACCTGTGGGATTCAAGATTTTGCTGAGCCAAATGGAGTTTCTAATATACATGATTATGTTATTAAATGTACCTGGACTACTAAGGACAATAGATCTATGGGAAGTTTTGAGAAGAGAATTTTGAGAAGTAGGTCAGACTTCTCAAATACCCTTTTGAAGGAATGCCTCTTTCACAATTCTAGTGAATTTATAAGCCCCCAGATAGTTAAAGATCTTACTGTGATTAAGAGTCTCTTTGTCTGCTATTTTAGCTTGTCTATTTGGTCTCCTGAACTCTTAGTTTTCATTTATCAAATTTTGGTTCTCATAGTGCTGTATAGTTAGCCTTTTGTTTACTCGGAATGTATATATTTTTTCTCAGTACTTACTTTCCTTTTAAGGTTTAGTCCTAAAATAATTTTATTCTTATCTTCAGATGACTTTCTTCTCTTCTGCTAATCTCTGTAATCATTTGTTCCTTGATGACTTCCAGAATTTTCCCACTGTCTTCCAAAAATCTTGAATGGTATATTCTGCTTCTTTGAACTCTCAAATAGTAATGACATTGGTTAATCTGTTAAAGGTTTGAAAAACAGGATCTCTTTTAATAACTTTCTGTCTTATGTCCTATAATACCTGTTAATAAATTTAGTTTGCCAGTTAATAAATTTAGGCTTGAACATTGGTAGTTAATAGCCACTTGAAAAAAAGCCACAGATAAGTTTTCTTTATTTATGGCAAGAAAGGATGCATTGCATTGATAACTACAAAAATAATTGGAGTGTCTGTAAATTCGATAGTTCATTTCAGAAAACCATTTAAAATTGTGTTAATATCACTATGCCATTATACTTTGTTTGTGTAGAAATTTTAATTTATTTGAATACTTAAGATTTTTTGGCTGTCCTTTCCCATTTTTACCTCCTTTTCTCCTTCCCTAATTATTTGCATGTCAGATTAGTAATTGATCTCTATCAGTGACCTAGATTACAATTGTGCCATCTGATCAGACTAGTGTTCTTTTACTCTGTTGGGATATTCATTGGCCTGATTTGTGTGCATCTCTTGATTTGTAGCTGCTATTGACATTCCCAAAAATAGGTAGAAAATTTCTGGATCTTTGTGTGTGAGAAAGGGAGAAAGAGTGTGAAAGGAAGGAAGATTTGTTAACTGGATCTGATTCTCTTGGCTCTAAACATTCATAAGATTATAGATTTCAGTTATCTCATCTTGGCCTTGGAAGGACCAAGGAGAGGAGGTGATAAAAATAAAAAGGACAAAATGATTATTTCTATGCCATGAAGAGTTAGTGTATACTTTTAAATAAGAAGATCCATCAGCAGTGATTTTGTTTCTTCCTATGCATTTCTGTTATAAGATCATTTTATTCATACCAGGAGATTTCATTTTAGAAATGTCTGTGAATTTGTGGGCAAGTTAGAGTGACATATTCACAGATGTATTATTTGGGACCATGCTTGTAGTTTGCTTGTGAAGTTAATTTAGCGTTCAGGAAGTTATCTTCAGCAGTAAACTTGCCCCCTCTCCTCAATCAGATTAAATCAGTGGTTGCTATTCTTTATTAGTATTTCTTATGAGCCATATTCACTAAGTGCTTTATGTATGTTATCTCACTTATAAAAGCCTTGTGAATAGTGACAGCATCCTGTTTTACAGATTAGAAAAATGAGTCCAAAGTTAGGTTCCTTGCACAAATTTACAGTACTGATAAGTGATAGATTTGGAGTTTGAACTCAGATATTTTACACCCCAGTGCCTGTGTACTCCCTTTTCAGGTGAGTGAAACGGGGGTGCAATGAATATTTTTATTCATATATCAAATAACCATGAAGCAGGGAAATGTATATGTTGAATTGTTTAATTCTTGTACGTCATCTGGGAAGTTATATTCCTAAAAATCAAACTACTGTTAGTTTCTTAAATAGGAAAGCTCCTTAGGAATCCAAATCTCTTGCCTCTTATAAAAGGTAATACATACAAATAGTTTTGATTCATGTTGAAGATGCTGTTTTTCTCATGCACAGATGGTTATGGAGAAACTAGATACCAGTACAACTCTTACAGGTGTTAGAAGAATGACCTGTCATGCTAGTCAAGTTTTTGCTCTTCTAGGGAAGAAACTTGGCAGCACTCAACTCCGTTTTCATTGGACAAATGCAGAGATTGTTTCAAGGTTTTTTTTTTTTTTTTTTTGCTAGATACATATATATATATATATATATATATTAGAATTTGTGTGACACTGACTTCTTTAGTAAAATTGGAATGATTCAGGTTATTCCCTTTATTCCAGTCATATTAACATTTTGTATACTGAATTTTGGCTTGTCTAGAGCCTTCTAAATGTTACCTTTGCTGTGCCTTCACCTTTAAACTTTTAATTCTTACTTTGAATTGAGACTTTTCATAACTTGCATTGACTTTTTTTGATTACAGGTTCAATTTTATAAAGAGATATTTAAAAACAACAATGTTCAAAGACACTTTTTAGTTTCAAAAAGGAGTTAGGAAAATAATCTTTAGTGTGTATTTGTGGGTTCTTAAAAACTTATATAATGCAACCACAGTAAATCATAGTACATACTATAAATCATATTGCACATACTATATGCTTGATTATCTGTTTACTGCATTAAAAAGTCAGTATTGCATAGAGCTTAAATATATGAACTCTTAGACAGCCTGCTTGGCATAAAATCCTGGCTTATACTGTCAGCTAATTATTTGAGGTAGATAATGTCTCTTTACCTCAGTTTTTTAATCTCAAAAACTGAAATAGTAATGTCCCTCTTGTGAACTGTTAAAAGAGTTGAATGAGCTATTATAATTATTTTAATTTAAAAGCTTCTGAAAGATAATTGTATTGTCGATACGTGTGACTCAGTGGTAAAAATCTGACCCGAACTCACGATATTAACATGTATTTTGCTGCAGAAATATTGTTTTAATTACAGTATGCTGGCATAGATGTTGCAGAGATCATTGCATAATAAATGGTATGTCCATATTGTGTTCTATAATATAAAATTATGAATTCAGAAACTCATCTTGCCACAAGGATTTTAGATTAAAAAAAACTTCCTGTATATGTAAAATACAGAGAATAGTGTTTAATGTTACAGATGACATAGGTTATCTTACATGCATTTAGGCTGGGAGAATTAAATTCTTTAGAAAAAAATCTATTATAAATTCAATCTTTGGATTCATAAATCTGGGAAAAGTTTAAAGTGTTAAGTTTATAGAAAAAGTTTTTGAGTAATTTACTTAAGCAAAACTTAAATATATTAGTAATATCAACAGTCCTATAAAAAGAATCCTAAAATGTAATATTGGCAGAAGATACAAAGTTTATTACAGAATGTTGAGGAGCTTCCTTTCAGAAGTTCTTTGATTTTAATCCATTTTGATTTAAAATCTTAAAGCATGCTGAAACAGGATATATAAGTCTATAAAAATGAAGGTGCAAAATCACAGCCTTCATGAATTCTGTTATTTCCTTCAGTATAGAAAAGCAACCATTAATCTGTCCATCCTTTTTTCCTCCCAAATAATCAGTGGGGAACTAGGGCAAGCATATGTAGTTCCTTTGTTTATAGACACTACTTGGATTTGGGGTT